TCATTTTTGAATGAATGTCTGTTAGTCTATCGTTTTAGTGATGCCCATAAAATCATGTTTATGTGTTATATAATCAAATTTATGATAGGCTTTGTTATGACCTATGCAGTAGTATATAAATATTAGTAGCTTTATGAGCATAAATACCATACTACGTGACTGTAGGTCACCAAGTTTGTGAAGCATATAATCTACTCTTAGATAATCAGGAACTGACCCTACATCAATTCCAAGTGCTAATGTTCATTTGATAGATAGACATTTACAAATTACTCCTTAGGGTAAAATTACTTCTTAGCAGATGGTGTAATAGTTATATTACTGTAGTCCCACACAATTGACTCTGGTTCGAGTCCTGGACCCAGCAGCTTAAAACCCATACCTGGCAAGTGTGCATGTGTGCATGCCCAGAATTCTGAGAGGAGAATGAAGCATTGCGATGTGACTATCTCCCCTACAGGGTGATTTCTCACTTTCCCTCTCTCTGTCTCTCTCCAGCGAGTGCATGTACCCTATGATAAAATCTTAAAAATAAATAAATACATAAATTAATATGTTGACCATATATCCACTCTAAAATTCTTGAAATTTTAAGTTCAGTACTAATTGACTCACTTTATAAAAATCTATTTCCTGTCTGAAATAATTTAACAAGTTGTTTCATTACACTATATCAACTCCAACCACAGAGGAAGCAAATTAGTAGAATCACTGGAATGTCTAATTTGCAGATTAAGTGTCCTCATCCATGCTCTTAACCATTCTGAATCCATTTACCTCCATCCGTACGTCATTCGGAATTAAGGCACATTATACTGGAGCATAAGCTGATTTCCTCAAAAATATGTAAGGAAATCAATGATCAGTTTCTGGAAAAATCTTAACAAATTAATTGATGCAGTAAAACAGGAAATAAAAGTAGATACTCGGCTGGCAGGGCGTGGTGGTTAAGGGCACTGGACTCCCACATGGCTGACCACCGTTTGAATCCTGGACCTGGCAGCTTGATTTCTCACTTTTTTTTTCTCTCTCTCTGTCTCTCTCTTTCTCTGTCTCTTTCTCTCTCTCTCACTCACTCTGTCCCTCTCTGTCAAATGCAAATAAGTAAAGAAATAAATGAATAAGCTAAATAAAATCATTCTTAAAAAAAACAGACACTGTCCTCTCAGAAATGTATACCTAACATGGCTGACCACCGTTTGAATCCTGGACCTGGCAGCTTGATTTCTCACTTTTTTTTTCTCTCTCTCTGTCTCTCTCTTTCTCTGTCTCTTTCTCTCTCTCTCACTCACTCTGTCCCTCTCTGTCAAATGCAAATAAGTAAAGAAATAAATGAATAAGCTAAATAAAATCATTCTTAAAAAAAACAGACACTGTCCTCTCAGAAATGTATACCTAAGAAAAGGTAGCACAGATTTCTGCTTTTCATACTTGCTTTGTTTTCATTTAATTCAGTAAAACAAGCCAAACTTGCCTCTAGTTTGTAAAGAATGATTTAAGAATGTTATCAGTAAGTGAATAAGCATTGAAAAAACTGGTTCACTTCTCCCAAGTCATGAAAAACTTGTAGAGACAAGCAATTGTTTTTCAGCAAAGTATTTATAAAATGTCTGAGTATTGTGTAAGATGTTATACAAAGTTAATCACATGTATATCTTTTATTTAAAAATTATACATGTATGAATGCCAGTTCTATGCAAGGTGTTGTGGTAAATATTTTTACATATGTGTATCACATAATTTCATTTTGTTACGATTCTGTGAGAATTTTTTTCATTGTTTTAGAGCTGAGAAAATCAATATTCAAGTGGTAAAGTATTCTCAAAGGCACATAGAGTAAATTACAGGGGCAAATTTTATTTTTTAAATAATTATTTTATTTTATTTTATTTTATTTTTTAATTCACTGTAGGGCATGTGTGCTCACCAGAGAGAGATGGGGGGTAGGAGAAGAGTAAGAAAGTAAGCCGCCAGGTCCAGGACTCAAACCATGATCAACCCTGTGCAAGTCCAGTGGCTTAACCACTGTGCCACCTGATGCCTCTCAGGAGCAGATTTAAATCTCCATCTTCTAAGTTCAGCCTGAAATCTTTTCATCTATACCATTTTCAGCAATCTTGATGTACTGGTCTGGATAGTGAAGAAGGTCTGTTCCCTGCATTATGGGGTGTTTAGCAGCACCCCTGGCCTCTATTCAACAAATGCTAGTAACAGCCTCCAACACACACTCCAGATATGACAACAAGAAGTGTCTTCAGACATTGCCAAATGTCCTCTGTGGTACAAAATGACTCCTAAGTAAGAACTCTTGATCTGGAGGCCAGCAGGTGGTGTGGTGATTAAAGTGCTGGATTTCCACATGGTCAAACACAGTTGGAGTCCTGGACCCAGAGGCTTGAAAAACACACCAGACACATGTGCATATGTAGCCAAAGTCCTGAAAAGAGAATGGAGGAGAAAAAATTATGGTATAGCCATTACCCCAGGGGGGTGATTTCGCACATTCCCTGTCTCTGTCTCTCTGTCTCTCTCCAGTGAGTGCATGCACCCCATAGCAAAAGCCTTTTTTAAAAAACTATTGATCTGTGTTATTGTATCTCACCTCTGAATTTTTTTGAGAGAAATTTTTGCCATAGGGCACATGTGCTCAATGGAGATACAGAGAGAGACAGAGAGATAGAAAGTGAGAAACCACCCCTCCAGGGGGATGGCTATGCTGCGGTTTTTTCTCCTCCATTCTCTTGGGATTTGGGGCACACACATACACACACACACACACACACACACACACATGTGCCTGGTGTGAGTTTTAAGTCACCGTTCCGGGACTCGAACTGTAGTCAACTACACGAGAGTCCAGCAATGTAATCATTACATTATCTACTGGCTCCTCACCTCTGAATTTTAATTTAGAAATATTTAAGTAAAATAAACAATATATGTAGAACACACAATTGATTGTGTAATTACTATAAAATAAATGAAACATAAGTGTAAGAGTAAGTGCATATTTTAGGATGGTAAACAAAATTATTCCATGCAAAGAGGGCTTAAGTTCAAATACCTCATTGTGAAGATGAGTGAGAAAGTCAAGAAAAGTAGCATCAAAATATATCAATGAAAAAGTACCAGTTGCAAGAATAAGCTGAACCCATGCATAACAATAAGCAGATAAGTTGATGAGAATGCATATATGTACAATCAAAACATTTAAGTGGGTCATAAACCATGATTCTAAGACATTTTAAGCTGAGGTGGTACAGAGAAACAGGGGCTGGGGAAATAGGGCTGTAGAAATGAGGCAATAGACCAGGAAACAGTGAAGCTAAGACAGAAACCTCCTCAGACAGGAATCTACTATATGCTACTTTCTGGGGTAAGGCCCACTGAAAGGCATTTTCTACCTTGTTCTGCCATTGGACTCGATGTGGTGAGCACCACATGAGCTAATGTACATATATGATGTGAATTAGAATTACGATAATATGAAATATCACTTAAAGTACTTGTGAAGTCTCACTTCCTGTACTAAATTAGAAAAAGTAAACTTAATAAAAATTACATAATTTAAAAACTAGAAGGATAAATTGGAATTTTACTGATGGGATTACCTCATTGCCTTCATGGTCAATGGAAATAGTTATCATCCCATGCTTTGTGGGTTGGTAGGAAAAACTTAGAAGAAATGAAATGAAGTTAATTAGATTAACAACAATATAAGAAACATGAAGGTACATTTTTGCACTCCACAACTGTGGCAGTACACATCATTCCAATTTGGTATGAATCCATCAGTTGATCAGAGTTTAGTAACAGTCTCTATTTCTTAGGAATTAATTTGAATCCTGAAATGATTTCTGTGGGCATACTAACTATCCTCCTCCCCATTTCATGACTGACTTATTCTATGTGACACTTCTCCAAAGTGAATATACCATAAGTGCCTATGGGTAACTTAAAAAGAAAAGGAGAGGTTTACAATTACTTTAGTTTGAATAGTCTCAAATAAAGTGTCAGACTAGCTTTTAAGCCAGTGCTGGAGTTTGCTGACATTTTTTACAGCTTTAAGAATTATTCTTTCTTTCACATTATGTAGTTAAGTTGTTTCACTTCAAGTCTCCAATCGACATTTCCTTTGTATGCATATACTGAAATGATTTTATTTAATAAAAAAAGAACATCTCCTATGTGGATTTTAAATTTCTCTTATTAAATATTTATATTTTCAAAATGTCTTTATTTAATTGAGTGAGGTGCTTGGTGCCATTTCAAAATAACCTCAGGTGGTAGGTGTAATGACATACCAAAGATTTGACCTTTAGCATTTTAGGATTCTATTTGTCTGCATTTTCTTCTGCATGCATTTAGTCTTAATTTATATGCTATTTCTCTGTATGGCTTAATGAGTAGATGTAGTTGGCATAAGATTCATTAACTGAAAAATACATGTCTGAATACATATTATTTCTTCACAACCCAATTAGTAATTTTAACTTCATTTGTATCTCCATTGTAATGAGTAGAATGTGCTGTTGGCCGGTCAGTATTTGCACAAACCTCATTCATTCTCATTAAGTGCTTAGCAGACTAGACCCTGGATCTACTAAACAGATACTCCTTCTCTCACTTCTAGATTCTTTTCAGTCAGCTTATTATATTCTTTTATTTACCTTAGAGATACTTTATTTTTCAATTCCCTGCTATTCTTTTTAAAGAAAATTGAATGTAATATTTACACTGATAAAATTAAATTAACATCTTGCAGCATCTTTTTGTATACTTTGGTGGCGTAGATAATCATTTCTCTGGGTAGCTTCAGCCTACAAGCAGTAAAATGGAATAATTATCAATTATAATATTGTGACACAAAAATGATTTTAATTTACCCACTTAAGTATTTCTTTATTTATTTTTTTAGAAAAAGAGATTCTAAATGGAAATTATGTTAAATAGGTCATTAATCCATCAGCCTACTTTACATTTATTTTTGTATTTTCTAGTTTACACAAATCTTTATCTCAAGAAGAAAATCTGAAGGATCAGTTTAACCATACCCTTAGTACTTATGAAGAAGCGTTAAAAAACAGAGAGAACATTGTTGCCATCATTCAACAACAAAATGAGGAACTGACCACCCAACTACAACAAACTCTGACAGAGCGAGCAAACATGGAGGTACAGCTTCGCCATGCCACAGAGGCCACCCAAGTGGCCAATGAGAAGGTTCAAAAGTAAGTAAGATGATCTTGCCTTATTTTGAACAGGGGGGGAAAACGCTTTCTTTTGGAAACTAAATAAGATAAATGTATAGCTCCTCTGTTCGTGGTTTAAGACGAGAGTAGATTGAACCAAATGAACTTTTTTAGATTGCATATCATGTCCATATTAGGGGTCAAAAAGTCATTTTATGAGGAATTATATTACTATTTAGGGCAAACCATAATAATTTAATAACCTACTTTCATCAATTCATAGAAACCATACTATTGAAATCATTTCACACTCCCAAGTTAATAAGCAAAGTTATTAGCAAGGGGAAGAGGCAGTCCAGTTACCACCTGTACTCATTTAGCTTCACGATAATCTGCTTGAGTTGAGATCATCTGTGACCTTGCAATCTGAGACCTCTAGATGGAAAGAATCCAGTACAGTGAAATTAATTTTCTCGTGTTGTTCTTCTGAAGTATTCAATACAGCTTTTCACAGTGCATAATTTTATTTGTTTATTTTGAATGATCTTTGCATTTTTATTAAAATTTAAATAAAGCTGCATAATCAGTCAGTCCTTGTGACAGCTAGCAGAGTGTTAACAAATAATTTACCAGGCAGAGAAGTCGTTTGTTAATTCATAGGACTTAAACGTTGTAACAGAATTTTCTGAGCAGTTTTCTGAGCCAAGGTGTGATAGGACTTGTCATTTTAACCTTCTTCCAAAAGGATTACATCATTCACATACCTAATCACCTTCAATTCCTGGATTTACCTTTTCCCTTAACAAATATTTTTTCCAGTTGTATAGTATGAAACAGTACTCACTTCAAGATATCTTGCTTCCCACTACTTTTTTTTTGAAGAATTATTTATTTAATTTTTTATTTATTTTAATTTGACCAGAGAGGGAAACAGAGAGAGAGAAGGAATGTGAGAAAGCGAGCCACCAAGTTCAGGATTTGAACCACAGTCAGCCATGTGGGAGTGTCCAGCACCTTAACCACCACACCACCTGCTAGCCCCCAACCCTTAATTAAAAAGAAATCGTCTCAACCATTTCCTCAACCTTCTTGAAATTATATTTTGATCAGTTATCTAAGTCAAGTAAATCTGTAGTTGATACCATGTTAAAACAGCCTGGGAATTGTGTATATTAATCTTTATTACCAGTACACTTTGAAACTTTTGATTTTTGTACATACCATATATTCTTGTAGGTTCAAAGATTAAGTTTCTATTAAGTCAGAATCTGTACTCAGTTATTCACAGTGTACTTTGACAGTCTAACACTGTGGTGTATATGGATAGAGTTCAATTCACTCTAGATCACAATTAGGAACTTTTGATAGTCAGGGCATGAGATAGTTCAGTTTGTTCAAAGCCTGCTAATAACTACGAACTGCCAAAGTTTTCTTTACATGTAATCCTTTGATTTATATGACTAAAATTCTCTAAAATCATGAAAATAGTGGTTGCCAGAGCCCAATCAGATTTCCAAAAAAAATCATTGGAGAGGTTGTCGACCTTTTTTTTCTCTTTTTTTTTTTAGAGGTTTTTGCTATAGAGCGCATGCACTTGCCAGAAAGACAGAGATACAAGACAGAGGACAGAAAGCAAGAAATCACCCCCCAGGGGGGATGGCCATGCTGCAATCCCTTCTCCTCCATTCTCCTCTCGGGATCTGGGGCACACACACACACGTGCCCAGCATGAGTTTAAGCCACCAGGTCTGGGACTTGAACCACAGTTGACTACATGGGAGTCCAGCTACATACCCATTATGCCAACTGCTAGTCCTGGTTATCAACCTTTTATTTGATATTGTGGACATCTCATCAGCTATCATTATCACTTCTAAAATAAAGAACTTTTGAGGACCAGCAGATGGTGTAATAGTTATGTCGCTGAGCTCCCACATGGCCGACCATGGTTTGAGTCCCAGACCTGAGGGCTTGAAACTCATGCTGGGTGTGAGTGTGTGTGTGTGTGTGTGTGTGTGTGTGTGTGTGTACCCAAAATCCCTAGACTACACTGGAGGAGAAGAGATTGTGGTATGATCATCCCCCCGAGGGCTCATTTTTTGTTTTCTGTCTTTCTCTGTCTCTGGTGAGCACATGTGCCCTATAGCAAAAATCTCTTAAAAAAAGAAATAACTTATACATACTAAGAAGTATAAATAACATCATCTCAAATAATACCTTAAATTGAATGAGTTTAACCATTTGACAAACATTTTATCATCCTTAGTTAGCACAACCACAGGCAGATCAGTTTTTTTAATAGTATGCTACCAATCCATGGATGAGAGTTAGAGCACAACTCTGTCATTTATAAGGGGCTTTTAAAAAGTAGGGACCAGCAGATGGCATGGTGGCTAAAGTGCTACAGTCCCACATGGCTGTTCACGGTTTGCGTCCTGGACCCAGTGACTTGAAACTCACATCAGGCATGTGTGTGTGTGTGTGCCCAAAATCCTGATAGGAAAATGGAGGAGAAGGGATTGCAGTGTGGCATCCCCTTGGGGGGGAGGTGATTTCTCACTTTCTCTCTGTCTTTCTCTCTGTCTCTCCAGCAAGCATAAATGCCCTAATAGCAAAAATCTCCCTAAAAAGAAAAGTTCATGGAAAATGCATGCATATCATGAAAACACTATGCAGAGATTTCAAGTTTTTTTGTACCAAAAGAAATTTGTACTTTAATTCTGGTTTCCATGAACTTTTTGAAGTTCTTTACACAAGAGTTAAGTATTGTTTTTTCTTTCTGATTTCCAAAAATAAGACATATGTGAATTATTATTTGTCTTTTCTTTTCATCATCAATTCAATTTTTTATTACCATCAATTGGGCAAAGTGTGTCTTCATTGCAGTTAATGTGGATATCAGCCTGTTTTATTGGATTTAAAAGGAAGGATATCTTTTTAAAGGAAAACAACTTAAAATACTTTGTAGGATGATATTAATGTTTTCCCTTCAAAACAGAACCTCTCGAGTAACTGATCTATAGTCACTGTCTCTGATTTTTCAGTGCCTCTTTACTCCTCTGTTACTTAATGCCCTGACTGGTTCTTACACTGAAATTGTCCTTAAGATTACCAGCAATTTCCTACTAAGTTTAATAACCCATTTTTTACTGTATTTTATCATGCAACTAATTTATGATCATGGTGAAAATAAAGATGTTCCCAAGTCTTCAGCATCAGAGCATAGTGGTAACGCTCAAGCTTGGAATTCAGGATTCATAGGTATAGAAACTCAGGCGTTTTATTTGTAAATGCTGTGCACATGTGGGCAATAATACCACTGTCTCATGACAGCGTTGTGAGAATTAGATGAGATAATACAAGCAATCTTTCACAACAACACATATTGCAGGGTCCCTCCTTTTCTTGGCATTTCATTCCACGCTGCGCTGTCTGATTCCTCAGAAAAACTGCCTTTTCATGACTTAATGTGTTTGCACATGTTGGTTCCTCTGCTTGGAGCCTTTTGCCCTTTTCCCCCATGAGAACTTCACTCATCCTCTAGAAGTCAGTGAAGTATGGCTAGAAGACAGGCTTTCTGGTTAATCAGATAGTCCTGGGTTTGAATTTGTGCTTTCCTACTTGTAAGATTTGGGGCAAATTACTTAACTCTTTTAAGCAAAAATTTTTCAAATTAACAAAAACTCAGACAGTAATACAAGTCTCACTTGCAGGATTCTTGTGAGGAGTAAATTGAATAGCATCTAAAATGCCTCATGATGGGGCCAGCAGGCAGCTTGGTGGTTAAGGGTGCTGGACTCCCACAGAGCCAACTATGGTTCGAGTCCTGGACCTGCTGGCCTGCTTTCTCACTTTCCTTCTCTCGCTTTCACTCTCACTCTCATTCTCACTCTGCCCCTCTCTGGTCAAATTAAAATAAATAAATAAATAAAGGTAAATAAAATTATTCTTTTAAAAAATAAATAAATAAAATGCCTTTGGGGCCAGCAGATGATTTGATGGTTAAGGGCTCTGGACTCCCACACGGCCGACCATGATTCAAATCCCACATCTGGCGACTTCTTTTCTCATTATCCTCCTCTCTCTCTTTTTCTCTCTCTCATTCTCTTACTCTCTCACTCTGTCCCTTTCTGGTCAAGTTTAAATAAATAAATAAAGTTCAATAAAATAAAATAAAATAATTAAAGTTCAATAAAGTTCAATTTTTAAAAAATGCCTCGTGCAGTCCCAGTGACTATTATAAGCACCTTATAGATTATAGTGTAGTATCGTCATATTTGTTAATAGAGTGAAACCAGTCCAATTACATCTTTCTACTAAATCTTGTCTAGTGTCTTAGAAAGTAAAATCAGGGACCAGCAGTTGGCATAATAGCTATGTCACTGTACTCCCATATAGTCAACTGCGGTTCAAGTCCCGAACCCAGTGGCTTGAACGCACACCGGGCACGTGTGGATGCGTGCCCAAGATCCCGAGAGGAGAATGGAGGAGAAGGGATTGCAGCGTGGCCATCCCCCCTGGGGGGTGATTTCTCTCTTTCTATCTCTGTCTCTGTCTTTCTGGCAAGTGCACGTGCCCTATAGCAAAAACCTCTCAAAAAAAAAGTAAAATCAATCTTTTCTGTGTGTTCTTATAATATCTTTTTTTTTTCTTTTTGTTTACTTTTTTTTTTTTGAAGAGGTTTTTTGCCATAGGGTGCATGCGCTCGCCAGAGAGAGAGAAAAGACAGAGACAGTGAGAGGGAAAGTGAGAAATCACTCCCCAGAGGGGTTGACCATGCCAAAGTCCCTTCTTCCATTCTCCTCCTAGGATCCTGGGCATGCAGGCATACATGCCCAGTGTGATTGTCAAGCCATGGGTCCAGGACTCAAACCATGGTCAGCCATGTGGAATTCTAATGACATTACCACTATACACCATCTGCTGGCCTCAATATATTATTTTTTAAAAATGTATTATTATTAGAAGCTTTTGCCATCACCAGTATCCTCACTTAGGTGAACCTTAGAGCATGTTGTCATATATAAGCCTAGTTATTTTGTT